TTTTTTTGCCTGACTTCAGAGGCCCTGGGAGGGAGCCTTAGGGCGTGTCATAAGCGTTCATTTTGGGGAAATTACACGTGATTGACATCAAGCAGTATTGTTCAGATGACTATACCGAAAATCGGATTCACCCCGCTAATTCGTGCCGGCCGTGCTAGTTCGCGCCGGCCCCGTCGCTTCGCGCTGGCCCGTCACTTCGCGCTGGCCCCGTAAGCTCGTGCCGGCCCCGCTAGTTCGCGCTAGCCCCATCACTTTGCGCCGGCCGCGCTAGTCCGCACTGGCCCCGCTAGTCCGCGTGGGCCCTGCTAGCCCGTGCCAGCCCCTCCATTTCGCGCTGGCCCCGTTAGTTCGCACCGGCCCTGGCGTTTCGCGCCGGCCCCGCTAGTCAGCACCGACCCCTGCTCGCACTGACCCCCGTTCTAGCCGGCCCCAGTTCGCGCCGGCCCCTTTTCCCGCCGAGACGCGGTACCACCGTGCCACCGTGTTGCCATGCCGCCGTGACGCCATGCCGCCGTGTCGTCGTGCTGCCGTGCCGCCGTACCGCGTGTCGCCGTGCCCCCAAGCCGCCGTGTCACTGTGCCGCCGTGTCGCCATAAAGCCGTGTCGTCTTGATGCCGGGCCGCCGTGCCGCGGTACCGTTGTCACCTGCTGCGGCCGTGGTGATGGCGGACGCTGTGCTCCGCCTGGACGCCGAGGGGTGGGCGATTGACTTTGAGGCGTGGCTCGTCAACCTCCGACGTCAGCTTATAGGTTAGCGCCATGCCTCCCCTTCCGTTGTAGCGCTTGCTCACCCCTCCTCAGGTCCGGTGATTCCGCGTAGCTCCACTGCCCTTCCTTGTCGGACGGTTCCCTCGGGCTCCCTTACAGGCTTGCACATCCTCTCGTTCTCCAGGAACCTAGCTGGTGCCGGCTGTCTTCAGGACCTCATCGTCACCACTATGTTTCCTAGACACAAGCGGTACGCAGTCTGTACCGAGGCTGCAACTGGTGCCCGTCTCACCATGTTCCCCCGTGACCCAGTGTCTGGCCTGTTCACTCTAGACACCGCATCCCCCTTGGTGGTTGCGCCCTCCCAGGTCGCTGCGGCTTGCTCGTGTCGGCGGCTCACCCACCCGTCGCTGCTGTGGCACCACCGCTTGGGTCACCCCACACTCCCACGTCTGCATCACATGTCCCAGCACAGTCTTTTCTTAGGTCTCCCTGCGTCGCTCCCTGCCCTCCTTCCCTTGCCTGAGCCGCCGTGCACGCCCTGCATCGACGGCCGGCTGCGCCGTGCCCTTCACTCCTCCTCGCTTCCCCCTACCACTTCGCCACTCCACACCCTGAACCTGGACGTCTGGGGCCCTGCCCCTTTTCCTGGGCCGCGTCGAGAGCGCTACTTTCTGGTACTCGTCGACAACTACACATGCTATACCACGGTGTTTCCCCTGGATTGGAAGGCCGACGTGCCTGACGTTCTTATCTCGTGGATCGTATCTGCGCGAGTCCACCGCGGCCTCCCTGTGCTGTGTCTTCACTCCGACAGTGGCGGCGAGTTCGCCTCCAATCGGTTTGGCCAGTTCTGCCGTGAGGCAGGCATCAGCAAGTCGTACACCCTGCCGGACTCCCCATAGCAGAATGGGATCACTGAGCAACGCATCGGTTTGGTCATGGAGGTGGCTCATACCTCCATGATCCATGCCACTGCACCCCATTTTCTATGGCCGTTCGCAGTTTGCTACGCCGCTCACCAGCTTAACCTGTGGCCACACTCCCTGCAACCGCAGGACTCGCCGACCCTCCTCTGGACCGGGTCCCCTTGTGACGCGTCTGCGTTCCACGTCTGAAGCTGCCTCGCTCACGTTCGTGCCTCTGGCACGGACAAGCTCACTGCCTGCACTGTCCCCTATGTCTTCCTTGGCTTCCCCCTTGACGCTACTAACTGGCACTTTTACCACCCACCGTCTCACCATTTCTTTCTCTCTCTCGACATCACTTTGACAAGTCTGTCTCCTACTACACCCGCTTTCCTCACCGAGGTTTCCCGATTGCCACGCCCGTGTTCCTGGTCCCCACTCCCCCGTTAGCACCTGCTCCTCTCCCTTCCCGTCCTTACCCGACTGGAGTGTCTCAAGTCACTCCCCTCCCGTCGGTCGTCCCAGTGGAGGAGACGGCTGACTCTGGGGCCACTGCGGCTCCCGATTCGCCGCCTGTCTCCGCCTCTGTTGCTCCTCCTCCGTCACCGCAGCCGCAGTCGCCATCGCCGCCGCAACAACCTTCGCTGTCGTTGCTGCAACAGTAGCCGCCGTCGCTGCCGCCACAGAAGCAGGCGCTACCACCGCAGGGGTTGCAGAGCTCTGGGGGTGCGAGCGCTGAGGAGGGTTGTGATTCTGAGGGTGCTCGTCCTGGGGGTGCTCGTCATGGGGGTACTGCCGTGGTTTGTCCTTGGGGTGGAGAGGTTTCTCGTTCTGGGGGTGTTGGCATGGATTGTCTCGAAGGTAGCCGCAGGGCAGCTGGAGGTTCTGGTGTGGAGCAGCAGCAGCAGTCGCTGCCGGTGTCCGCCCTTCACCTCCTCGGTCGTCCTTTCTCCGACCGCCCGCCTGCGCCTTCCCAACCGCCGCCTCCTCCCCCTGTCTACACCCCTGTGTTTCCTCCTCCACACTCGTCCCCTGCTCGTTTCCCCCATCGTTCTCCTGCTTTGTCTCCTCCCTTGACTCCTGACCCGACCCCCCCCTCCCACTGGTGGTCACACCGTGCCTCTCGTGCTCATCTTGTCTCTCCTGTTCAGCGCTCTCACCCTATTTTGCTCCGTTCTCACGTATCTCATGCTCCCCTTCTACCGTTGCCTCCTCGGTCATCGCTTGTTGTATCCCCTCCTCCTCTCTCCGAACTCCTCTGTGCTGCTAGTCCGCATTTACCTCACGTTCTCCCTTCTCTTGTGACTGACCTGTCCGTTCCTGTCTTGACACTCTTGTCGTTGCCGTCGGTCACGTTGCCTCTACCCACCGCCTTGACTATGCCACCACTATGGTTTCTGACCATGCCCGTCCTCCGTCCGTCGGGGGTGCACACGCCTTTGGCACTCACGATCTAGAGGACAGGCAGTACGAGCTCGCTTTCGTATTTGAGGCTGCTCCCCATCTCTGCTCCATGCTGCTAGTCCCTGAGGGTGACCCAGGCGCCCTTGACATCCTGACCCCTCGCACTTACGCTGAGGCGACCTCGGGACATTGGGCCTCTCAGTGGATAACTGCCATGGACGCGGAGATGGCATCTTGCAGATCCACTCACACCGACGTCGCCGCAGTTCCCCCACATGGGGTGAAAGTAGTCGATGGGCGGTGACTCTTCAAGGTGAAGCGCCCTCTTGGAGAGCCGCCGATGTTCAAGGCGCGCTACGTTGCTAGAGGCTTCAATCAACGCGAGGGTGTTGACTTCTTTCAGACCTTTGCCCCGACCCCGAAGATGACCACCCTTTGGGCGCTGCTAAACGTAGCAGCACAGTGTGACTACGAACTACACTCGCTCGACTTCTCCACAGCATTTCTCCAGGGCAGTCTGCACGAGCAGGTCTACCTGTGCCGTCCGCCCAGTTTCACCGGCACCTTCGCCCCTGGTACCGAGTGGCTCCCGGGGCCCGGTTTACGGCCTGCGGGAGGTGCCCGCTGAGTGGCACGACACGTTGCGTGCTACGTTAGCAGACTTGCAGCTCTTCCCCTCGTCTGCAGACCCCTTGCTCTTCGTTCGTTATGGTCAGACCCCGTTCTACATCCTTGTCTACGTAGACGATCTGGTCTTCGCTACTGCAGACAGAGACGCACTGGCCTCCGTGAAGGCTGAGCTACTGAAGATACACACCTGCACTAACCTAGGAGAGCTGCACTGCAACCTTGGGCTGCAGATCTCCAGGGACAGAGCAGCACACACAATCACTCTTACACAGTCACACTTGGTGCGCCAGGTCCTTTAGAGGTTCGGTCTTCAGTTCTCCTCCGCACAGCCCACACCTCTGCCAGTAGACCACAGGCTCTCGGCTCCAGTTCCAAAGGACTCAGTAGAGCCTAGTGGTCCTTACGCAGAGCTGGTGGGTTGCCTCAGGTACCTGATGACTTGCACTCGTCCAGATCTCGCATACCCTCTCAGCATCGTGGCTCGCTTTGTGGCCACAGGCAGACACCGACCACAGCACTGGTCGGCCGCTAAGAGGGTTTTGCGTTATCTAGCAAGGACATCGGGCATGGGGCTAGTGCTAGGAGGATGTAGGCCAAAGGTCCTTATAGGGCAAACAGACGCTTCCTGCGTAGGCAACGCTGAGACGCTCAGGTCCTCCCAGGGCTACTGCGTTAGCCTTGGTTCAGGTGCCATCTCGTGGAGGTCCACTCGCTCGTCGTCTGTTGCTCAGACTAGCTGTAACGCTGAGATCTACGCTGGTGCCATGGCGGCACAGGAGCTCCGCTGGCTGACTGACTTAGGTGAGCGGCCTAGCTCTGCCCCGGTCCTGTATGCTGACAAATGGGCCATGATCCTCCTGTGTCAGGAGCCTCGATTTGAGGGCAGAGCGAAGCACATCCAACTGTGGTACTTCTTCCTGCGCGAGCTACTGTAGCGCCCCCAGGCCTGCGTAGTTCACTTGGCCTCCGGTGCCAACACAGCTGATATCTTCACTAAGGCGCTTGCGCCTAAAGATCATCAGCGGCACTGTGTCCAGCTTGGTCTAGTTCCTGTAGCTTCTCACTTGCTATGACCTTGATTGTGTAATATATATATTTTTTACCTTGACTAGCCTTATGGCTCTTGTTCTAGTAGTTGGACTAATATTACTCTTGTTTCCTTTGTACTCTTGCTGATTGGTCTTCAGACCCATGCCTCAGAGGTTGGACTAGTAGTGCCACCCTGAGCTGCGTGTCTCTTGCTTGTCGTTGCCCCTTGTCTAGCCTAGGGGGTGTATCAACATATATTTGTATATGCCATCGGCTAGATAGGTGCATGATCATAGAGAGTACAACTCTTTAGGACAAGACCACCCTGTATCACTCATTCTACTTGCGTTATTCTAATAACATCACCCAGCTTGCAACAAATGCAAAAAAATACACCAATAGGGTTTCAAATCTAAAAATACCTGTCACAAGCCCGACCTAGCGTAGGTAGGTAAGTAGGTACTAGAGTCTAGTACCGGTACCACTGGACTGGACAAACACGGCGAGGACTCCCTAAAATAGCATTCAGGAACAGCACCAACCTACAGCCACCTCTGGATAAACCAAGGTAGGCTACAGAAGTTCTCCATGGCAGAAAACCGGGCTCACTCTACTCTACGAAAGCATGCCGAGGGAGTCTCGTCTCGTCTCTAACTCTACCACCACACCCCAAACACGGCACCACCAGCCTACCTACAGGCTACTACAGCCTACAGTAGACATGCCCATACAGCACAGCACAGCCCAGGCCCGAGTACCCGAACACAGCAGCAAAGTGCAGCTCGCTACTGGGACCAGCTAGATTTCTAGTAGTGGTAACCACCTCGTGAAGGCTGAGAGGGCTGCTGGTGGTTGCCGTACCCACCACCGCCACCGCCGCCAACCCCTCTGCCTGGCCGCTCATCAGCATAGTCCCCCTCACCCCGCCCCCCCCGGTACTCCTCACGATGTCCTTGCTGCTGCTGCTGGTAATGCTGCTGGTGCTGGTGCTGCTGGTATTGTGGTTGCTGGTTGTGATGGTCCCGGCTGCTGCTGCTGCCACCACTGCCGCTGCCCCCACTGCTGCCTCCACCTTCATAATTTGAAATGAGATGTGATGGGAACGTGGAATGGGAAGGCGGAATGGGAAGGTGGCATGGGCAGGTGGAGTGGGCAGGTGGAATGAGCAGGTGGAATGGGCAGGTGGAATGGGCAGGTGGAGTGGGCAGGTGGAATGGGCAGGTGGAGTGGGCAGGTGGAATGGGCAGGTGGACCGATGGGCACGAGAGAGCATGAACAGAACACAACATTACGAGGGTCAAAATTGAGCAGAAAAGCAGGGAATACGCAAACAAGAGGGCGCAGTACAGCAAGGGTGAAGCGGGGGTTGCTCCAGGCAACACGTCTTGGAGAAAGGTCAAGGTCACACAGGGCCATAAACTGGTACTTCAACCTTACAAATACACCCCTTTACCTCCCCCACACCTATCAAATTTCTCAAAACCCTCATCCCCATTGGCCTGTATGACTCCCCTCCTACACACACCATGTACCGGCCCTCGCTAACCTGCCACTACCACTGCCTCTACCACTGCCACTACCACTGCCTCTACCACTGCCACTACCACTGCCACTACCACTGCCACTGCCACTACAGCTGCCACTACTGCTGTTCACTGCGGTATGGCTCACCTCCAAACAGATCGTTGGCAGAGGGCCGCTTCGGCTTGCTCTTCTTCTTCAGCTCTGCTTGGTGCAGGCACAATATCCCATATGCACCGCATCGCATCGCACCGCACCGCACGGCACAGCACAGCACAGCACAGCACAGCACAAAACAGGGGCGGGTATTGGGAGGGTAGAGGTTTAGATAAGATGATCAGGTGAGAGTGAATGGGGCGGCTGGTGATATTGCTGTGGGGGAAAGGAGAGGGGGAGAGAGAGGGGAGAGGGAGGGAGTGCTTGTAAGAGTGTGGGAGAGAGAGGGGAGGGGAGGGGATGGGAGGGGAGGGGAGAGGAGGGGAGAGGAGGGGAGGGGAGAGGAGGGGAGAGGAGGGGAGGGAAACTGGGTGGTTAGGAAAGAATGGGAGGAAAATGGGGCCAAGGGGGAAGATACGAGCAGCGGGAGCGAGCGAGGGGGCAAGGGGGGCGAGGGAGCAAGGGAAGCGAGGGAGCAAAGGGGGCAAGGGACCGAGGGAGAAGGTAGTGCAGGCACCGACCTGCGGAGTGCGAACCCTGCACTATCTCCATGTTGCGGTACGTGTACCCCACGAAGTTGATGTCCTTGGACGGCAGCATCTGGGATCCCAAAGGGAACGGAGGGGGCGAGGGGGGGGGTTAGGAAGAGGAGAAAGGGATGTTTAAGAGAGAACGGGAGTGAGAAGGGGTGAGTGGGCCCCCTACACTATCTCGATGTTGCGGTATGTGTACCCCACAAAGTTCACATCCTTGGACGGCAGCATCTGGGATACAGGGGGGGGTTGCGTGGGTATGTTTAAGGAGAACGGGGAAGGAAAGGGAAGGGGCGAGTGAGTCCTCTGCACTATGCCCATGTTGTGGTATGTGGTGTGTGGTATGTGTACCCACAAAGACATAGGTGTATTGTACCCCACAAGGTTTATGTCCTTGGATTGGATGAAGTAGCGCGGAAGAAGTAGCGTGGAGGGGAGGTGGGGGAAGGACGAGCTGAGTGATAACATGAGGGATTCTGAGGGATGCACAAGCACCCCACCCGTACGAAGCTGCATTAACACCACCCCCCCCTCTCCTGCTTAGAGGCATCCCTTGACGCCCCCCACACCCCGATTTTGGATCCACCCCACCCTCGAATCCCCCTCACCTTTCTCCAAGGCCCGGCACGCTGCCCTGATGGCTGCTCGTCCACCTGCGGTGGCCGCCACATTGGTGGGGGGGGGTGAGATGGGGATAGATGGGGGGTGAGATGGGGATAGATGGGGGGTGAGATGGGGATAGATGGGGGGTGAGATGGGGATAGATGGGGGGTGAGATGGGGATAGATGGGGGGTGAGATGGGGATAGATGGGGGGTGAGATGGGGATAGATGGGGGTGAGATGGGGATAGATGGGGGTGAGATGGGGATAGATGGGGGGTGAGATGGGGATAGATGGGGGGTGAGATGGGGATAGATGGGGGGTGAGATGGGGATAGATGGGGGGTGAGATGGGGATAGATGGGGGGTGAGATGGGGATAGATGGGGGGTGAGATGGGGATAGATGGGGGGTGAGATGGGGATAGATGGGGGGTGAGATGGGGATAGATGGGGGTGAGATGGGGATAGATGGGGGGTGAGATGGGGATAGATGGGGGGTGAGATGGGGATAGATGGGGGGTGAGATGGGGATAGATGGGGGGTGAGATGGGGATAGATGGGGGGTGAGATGGGGATAGATGGGGGGTGAGATGGGGATAGATGGGGGGTGAGGAGAGAGAGGAAGGGAAGAGGAATGCGGCAGGAGAACCGGGTCGAAAGGAGATAGAAGAGGGAGAAGGCGAACCTCGTACCAACATTAGCAAGACGAACAGGAGAGGCTCTTAAAAGATAATCGAGGGGAGAAGGAGCGGAGACAGAGGGGAGGAATGGATGGGAGCTGTGGTGGGGTTAAGGCAATGAGGAAATTCAGTCTGAAGAATTTTGATCACAGCAGAACAGAGTGGAGCAAGTGGCAAGAGATTTCAGCAGACTCTCTAGAGCCGCCTGCGGCTGCGGCTGCGTCTGCGACTGCGGCCGTGGCTGAGGCTGCGGCAGCAGCTGTAGCGCTCACCTCGTCAAACTTCTCAAAGTTCTGAGTGTCGAGCTCGTCCACCACCTCAGGCTGGAACGCCGCCTCCATCTGGTACAGCCGCTCCCACGGCAGCCCTGCGAACCACGGGTGGCTCTGAAGGAAGGGAAAACGTAAGGGGGGATGGTGGTGGGGGGACGTGGGGGGGGGGGGAATGGAATGCGGACACGGAGCGGTGATGGTACCACTGATAAGCCACCCAGCTGCTTCCATCTGGTACAGCCGCTCCCACGGCAGCCCTGCGAACCACGGGTGGCTGAGAGGGAAGGGACGAGGTACGAGGGAGGGGATGGGAAACGAGAGGAGACACGGGCACTGAGGGGTGAGGGGGCTTCTGGTACGCCGCCTGCATTGGGCACAGCCGCTCACACGGGCCATGGCAGCCCTGCGAACCATGGGGAGGGACGGAGATAACACATGCGTGCGAGAGTCGCGCATGAGAGTGCAAGGAGCACGGCCGGCAAGCGAGGAGGGACAGAAGCCATGGCCCATGGCTGGGTGCATGCACGCACCTTGATCTCGTCCACGCTGTTGGTGCAGAGGCGGTGGTCCACGTCGCACAGCAGGTGGCTGATGGAGTCCCCCGCCTCCCTTTTCACTCCCCTCAAATGCCCCTGTGCCCCCCTTCCCCCTTACCCCTTCGCTCTCCCCCTCCCCCTCTCCTTTCCTCTACTCTCTCGGCGCACCTTGATCTCGTCCACGCTGTTGGTGCCGAGGCGGTGGTCCACGTCGCACAGCAGGCGGCTGATGAGGTCCCGCGCCTCCCACGACAGACTCGCCTCCTCAGGGAACTTGAGGTGCGTCCGCCAGTTCACAATCTGGGAGGAAAGGGTGGGGGGGGGGGGGGAGGGAGGATAGGAGGGGGTGAAACGGGGATCAAACGGGGCAGTTGAGGTCCCGCGCCTACCATGATGGACTCGCCTCCTCAGGGAACTTGAGGTGCGTCCACCAGTTCACAATCCGAGCGGAAGGGAGGGCAGAGAGAGGACGGGTGGGAGGGAATGACACAGGGATCCGAAGGGGAGAATGAGCCCCGCGCCTCCCATGATGGACTCGCCTACTCGGAGAACTTGAGGTGCGTCCGGCACTTCACAATCTGAGTGGAAAAGGGGGGGGAATGGAGGTTGGAGGGCCAAGTGGGGAAAGGAAAGGCGAGCAAAGGGGTTGGAGGGAAGTCCCTGGTATCTGGAAAAAAGGCCACCTCCTTGGGGAACGTGGGGTGTGTCTGTCTGCCAGTTGACAATCTGCTTGAGGGAGAAGAGGGGAGGCTGGGATTGCAGGGCGAAGTGGGGTAACGAAAGGTGAGAATCTGGGTGGAGGGAACTCCCTCCCTGGTGGCTGCAGGAAATGTTGTCTTGGAACGTGAGGTGTGTCCGCCAGTGCTGGCAATCTGCTTAAGGGAGACGAGGGGAAAGGGAGAGGGAGAGCGAAAGGAAGAGAGGAGAGGTCGGGAGGAGGGAGGGAGTGTAGAGAGGTAGGGGAGGAAAAGCCAGAGGGAAAGGCCAATGACGGCGTGGGTGGTTGTGCAGGTGAAGGGAAACGGGCAAACTCTGAGCATGTGCCACACACACACACACACACACACACACACACACACACACACACACACACACACACACACACACACACACACACACACACACACACACACACACACACACACACACACACACACACACACACACGCACACACACACACACGCACACACACACACACACACACGCACGCACGCACGCACGCGCACGCACGCACGCACGCACGCACGCACGCACACACACACACACACACACGCACGCACGCACGCACACACACACGCACGCACGCACGCACGCACGCACACACACACACACACACACACACACACACACACACGCACGCACACACCCAACCCCACCCCCCACACACCCCCACACCCACCCATCCACCCACCCACACCCACGCACAGGCACCCACCCACACCCACACCCACCCACACACCACCCATGCACAAGCGCACCTTTCTGCAGGTGGTCATGGGGTCGTCGGAATAGAAGGGCGGGTACCCCACCAGCATCTCATACATGATGGCGCCCAGCGACCACCTGCGCGGGTACGGGCGGACGGGGGGAAGGGAAGGGAGGTTAGAGGAGGCAGTGGGGAGGGGGGCAGCGGGGGGGAGGGGAAGGGGGGTCAGAGAGGGTGCCACTGCAGCAGCCTAGCCACCAGATGCATGGGCTGTTTGCAACGGAACTGAGACGGAGACTGCAAATCCGGACAAGGAAACTGCAAATCCGGACAAGGAAACTGCATGCACTGGTCAGTCACACTCCTCGCTCGCTGACAGGCTCACCAGTCGCACTCGAGCACGTAGACGGTAGCCCTTCTTCAGCAGCACCTCTGGCGCAATATAGTCCGGGGCGCCCACTGTGGAAAGGTCTGGGAGACTGATACCAACACCTCTCCCCCCACCTCCCCCCCCCCCCTCCCACACACACGTACACTCACTCACTACACACACAATTTGACTCACCAGTCGCACTCGAGCCCGTAGCCCTTCTTCAGCAGCACCTCCGGCGCAATATAGTCCGGGGTGCCCACCGTGGAAAACGCCTGAGGGAGGGTGGGGGGAGGTGGCGGTGGGAGGTGGGGGTTGCCATGGGGTGGGAGGGAGGGATATACGGAGAGGGGCGAGACGTTCACCAAGGGGAGATGAATGTGTGTGAGCTGAACGAAAGGTGGCGCTGTACCGCGTAGCACCAGTCACTGCTTGTACTCATTGTGGCAGTAACCAATTCTCATTGGGGGGGGCGGGGGTGGGGGCGGGGCGGGGGGGCGGCGGGGGCGGGGGGGGGAGGGGGGGTGGTGGGGGATGGGGGAGGAGAGTGAAAGAGGGAGATGCGAATGGAACAGACAGCACAGTCACCAACCTTACCCCCACTCCCACTCCCACCCCTTCCCCTCTCACATCCCCCACTCTCCCAAACCTTCCACCTTCGCCGTTCCCTCCACCCACCAGGCTGCGTCGGTTACGCTGCCAGTGCTGCAGCTGCTCCTGCTGAGAGCGGCCGCTGGGGGAGGGCCCCACGGCGCCGCCCACCATGCCGGCCTGCATGGCGTCCTCCTCGCTCTCCGTGATGGTGGGGAGGTTCCGGCAGTCCAGCGGCTTGCACAGGCCGAAGTCAGACAGCTTCATGTGCCCGTGCCGGTCCAGCAGGAGGTTGTCCGGCTTGATGTCCCTGGCGGTGGGGAGGGGGGGAGTGGGGTGGGAAGAGGGGGTTGGGAGAAAGGGGAGGAGCGATCGCAAGAGGAGAGGAGTAAGAAAGGAAAAATGGAGGGGAAATAAAGGGACGAGGAGTGGAAGAGGGAGGGGTGAGAAGGAGGGAGAAGAGAGATTCACATGTCGCATGTCCATCTCAGGCCTGATATACCTGTAGGCAGGATTGGCAGGGGTGGAGATTTTCAGAGGGGCAACTTTGTGAAATAGTGAGTCTGGGAGGGAGAGAGGGGTAGTTACGGGTGCATATTTATGTTTCATTCGAGCCGACAACATCCATGGCATGGCACACACACACGGCAAGAATGGCAGACGCACACAGCAAGCATGGCACACACACACGGCAAGCATGGCACACGCACACGGCAAGCATGGCACACACACACGGCAAGCATGGCACACACACACGGCAAGCATGGCACATGCACACGGCAAGCATGTCACACGCACACAGCAAGCATGGCACACACACACGGCAAGCAAGTCACACACAAACACGGCAAGCATGTCACACACACGCACGGCAAGCATGTCACACACACACACGGCAAGCATGTCACACACACAAACACGGCAAGCATGTCACACACACACACGGCAAGCATGTCACACACACAAACACGGCAAGCATGTCACACACACACACGGCAAGCATGTCACACACACAAACACGTCAAGCATGTCACACACACACACGGCAAGCATGTCACACACACACACGGCAAGCATGTCATGCACCCGTCTCATAGACCCGTCTCATGCACATAAATTACACAATCATAGACGCACATACATGTGCTCGTCCCACCCACCCACCCGCCCACCCCCCACCTGTGCACGTAGTTGTGCTTGTGGATGCTCTCGATCGCCAGCACTGTCTCGCCCACATAGAACCGTGCCTCGTCCTCAGTGAGCGTGTCCTTGCGCATGAGCAGCGTCATCATGTCCCCGCCCGGCAGGTACTCCATGACGAGGTAGAGGAACTCGTCGTCCTGGAACGAGCAGTACAGCAGCACGATGCACTTACTGCCCACCTCCGCCAGGAGATTACGCTCCGCCTTCACGTGCTCCACCTGCAGTTGCGAGGGAGGGAGAAAGAGAGGTGCCACGTGGGTGGGAAGGAAAGGAGAATGGCTTCTTCTGCCTGATCTCTCTACCTCAGCCCAGCAGGTTGCGCTCTGCCTTGACGCGCTCCACCTGCCGGCAGGCAAGGGGCTGGGCGACAAGGAGGGCGGAAGGGGGAGGGCGTCAAGCGGCTGCAGTCGCCCGGCAGGTACACCATGACGAGGTACAGGAACTTGTCGTCCTGGAAGGCGCAGTAGAGCAGCACGGGAAGAGGAGAAGGATGGCCCTTTACTTGCTGCCTAAGAAGAGGCAGAGCAGCAGGTTGCGCTCTGCCTTCATGTGCTCCGCCTGGGGGCAGGGGGGAGGAGGAGGGGGACAGGAAAGGAAACCGATAGGAGGGGGGAAGAGCCAGAACTAGCGGCTTTCATTCCCGCCTGCTGCCCACATCCGCTAGCAGGTTGTGCTCTGCTTTCACGTCCTCCACCTGTGAAGCAGAGAAAGGGGACGGGCCAGCGGGGTGGAGGGGGGGCGGGGTTAGGTGGGGGAGAAGGAAGGGAAGGGAAGGTGAGGATGGCCGTTTACATGCTGCCGACCTCCACCAGGAAGGACAAGAGGAAGGGGGAGATGACGAGGACGGGGAAGGGGGGCGGGGGCGGGGACGGGAAGGAGGCGTGTGAGAGGTGAAGGTGAGATGAGCAAGCAGCAGCACAACGCGGCGCTGCTTGTGCCGTGCTGGGTCGACAGCAGGCCGTGCTGCCTTTGCACACGGTCACCAGCGGCAGAGAGGGGGAGAAACGGGGAAGGCGAGAGAGGACAGAAGCAAGAGGAGTCAATTGAAGCATTGACCTGCATGCTGCTGCCTTCCTCGGTGGCTGGTGGCAGGTGGCACGCAGTTAACATCAACAGTCCCCAGTATCACTGTCTCACCTTCCCCAAAACCCACACCCCACACCCCGCACACACCTGCCCGCGTCGAAGCATTTCTGACTTCTTCAGTTTCTTCATCGCGTACACGTTCCCCGTTGCCTTCTCCCTGCACAGTCGCACCTGCGCTCGGATTGGGTGCCACATGTGCGTGTGGGGGAGGGGGGGGGCGGGGGGGGGGGGAGGAGGGGGGGAAGAGGTTGGGAAGGGTGAGGAGCGTGTGTGTGTGGTGCATAAGCGTTCCCCGTTGCCTTCTCCCTGCACAGCCGCACCTGCGCTCGGAGTGGTTGCCACAAGCGCTTGGGGGGGGAGGGGGAGAGGGTGGGGAACGGTGTGGAACGGTCTGGAACGTGTGTGTGTGTATGTTTAAGTGTGTTCGTGTGTGTCTGTGCGTGCATGCGTTAAGGCGGAAGGTGGGGCGTGGAGGGAGGTGCAAGCCTAAACCTGCAGCCCGCTCCTCCAGATCAATCATCCTCGTGCTGGAACGTGTGTGTGTATGTTTAAGTGTGTTCGTGTTCGTGCGTGTGTGTGTGTATGTGTGTGTGTGTGTGTGTGTGTGCGCGCGCGCGCGTGTGTGCGTGCGTGTGTGTGTGTGTGTGTGCGTGTGTGTGTGTGTGTGTTCGTGCGTGTGTGTTTGTGTCTGTGTCCGTGTCTGTGTATCTGTGCGTGCATGCGTGAAGGCGGAAGTCGGGCATGGAGGAAAGTGTTCGTGTAAACCTGCTCCTCCTGCTCACTAAACCTTTCTGTTGGCCACTCTACCTCACTGCCTTCCTTCCCCACCTCCTTCTTCCCTCTTCTCACCGCCTCTCACTCCCTCCCTACCAACCCCCGGCCCCAACCCCTCCTCTCACCTTCCTGTGCCCACCCCCCTCTCCCCCCTCCTCTTCATCTCCCCCCCCCTCCCCCCCCCCCCCTCCTTCCCCCCTTCCCCCCCTTCCCTCCCGCTTTGATCCTCTCCAGCAGCCCACTCATGCTCGCGATCCTCCCGCACCCCCGATGCGAGACCAACCAAACCCTCCCCTGACTCTAATCTAATCCCTCCTCGAAGCCCGGCCCCTTACAGCCTGCGCCTGGGACCCCCGATACGCCAAATCCGTACCTCGTGGAACTCCCCTCCGGGGATGTTGATGGTGGTGGTGACAAGAGCTGGTTCCAGTCCAAATCATCGACGCCCAGCTTAACTGACGTCCCCCTTCTCTCTCCTCTCCCCCTCAAGCATCGCTAAGAATCACCAAGCATCACCATGCATCACCATGCATCACCGAGCATCACCGAGCATCAGCATCCCTTTGCCCCCCCTGTCCGTACGTACCTCCCCGAACGCCCCGCGGCCGATGATGGTGAGGAGGTCGAAGTCGTCGACGCCGAGCTTGTGGCGCTGCAGACGCATGATCTCCGCCTCGCGCTGCTCCAGCTCGCGCAGCGCGCCCTCCTGCTCCTCGCACGACACGCCCTCCTCCTCCAGCCGCCGCTCCAGCTCGTGCCGCCTGGCGAGGACGGGGGAGGGCAGCGGGGGGGGGGAGGGAGGGGGAGAGGAGAAAAGGGGTTGGATCAGCTCAAGGGGAAACGAATGGCGCCCTCCCGCTCCTCGCACGACACGCCCTCCTCCTCCACCCGCCGCTCCAGCTCGTGCCGCCTGGGATGGGAGGGAGAGAGGGTGGCCCGCGCGCGCGCGTGTGGGGGAGATTGTGTGAGAGAGATCGAGAGCGCTAGAGGAAGAGCGAGTGTGAGCGTGTGCGTGTGTGAGGGAGGGAGAAAGGAGGTGCCTGTGCGTGCGTGCATGCGCGTGTCCCTCCCTTCTCTATCTCGCTCGCTTCATTTCTCTCGCCCTTTTTACTCCTCTCTCATCCCTCCACCCTCAAACCTCCTCCCTTCCCCCCATTGACATGCTACCCCCCGTTCGCCACCCGTTTTAATCACAATCCCCTCTTTCTCCGTCCCCCTCATCCTCATCCCTCACGAAAGAGCAGACGAAATGTAATCACCCCGAATGAGTACGTCGCAAGTCTTACGCTAGGCAAAAAAAAAGAGACCCGAGCACTGGGTAAAGCACTATTAAGAGATACGTAAAGCGCCTATTAAGAGACTCCAACCACCCACCTCTCTTTCCGTTCTTGCAGTGTGCGCATGCGCTGCTTATAGTGTTGCTCGATATAGTTCTTTGCAGCCGCCACTTTCTGCTTCGTGATATCCGATGCCACGTCAGCGTCTTGCACGCCCTCCTCATCTTCCCGAATGGTTCCTGGCGCTGCGGGACGCGGCGCTCGCATGCTGGTCCATTGCCGATCGCCCATGGCGGCTAAGTGCGGGTTACAATCGAACGCGTAACTGCTTATAAGAGCCCGTTGGCTACACCTGCTTTTTAATTAGAGAAGACTTGACCGTGGCTGGTTGCTCGCTAGATTGAATCGTTAGATCAAAACGACGTTACTAGGAAAAAAGCGGGCTGACCTATTCGCGAGAGCTCGTTACGGCTACTAACGTAAGCAACCCATGAACTGAAAGGGTATTAATCCCTTCAAGAGTTGATCAGCACGCAGGGTGATAGTCACACGAGTTACACCGAAACTTCGCGAGCAGCGTCTTCCCGTGTTTCCCGCTCTAAATTATAAAAGCGACGGGAGAGCACAGACGACGTCGGATGGAGGCGTATAGAACGGCAGAGACGGCAGAGACGGCAGAGACGGCAGAGACGGCAGATTATGACTCAAGTTAGTTGTCAGGCACAGCAGCTTTACCGACTCTTCCACCGAAGACCTGCGGAAATCAGGCACTCGGTTCACTGTCCCTGCAGCAGCAACGGGACGGTTCGCACACAGTAACAGCACGACAGGACGAAGAACGGTTCTTAGAAGTCTGCATAGTACAGCCAGAAAGGCAACCCAGCTCACTCACTTCCCAGCACCATGGAGGTCCGCACGCACACTACATACAGACACGCAGAAATCTATTTGGTACACTACTCCCTCCCACAACCAGTGCCCATTGCCCAACCCAACCAATGCACCCTATTTCCATCCTGAGCGGCTGTGCGTTGCACTCCCCTCCTCAAAACCAGCAGCCTCGGGAACTGCCTGTGCTGCCAGCCCATCCTGACCGTCCACCTCATGACGATGACGAGTTGTTGGACGGGGAAGCACCAGAGAGAGAGGTGATGCGATGCGCCAGGCGAGGAGGAACCAACAACCGTGTGAATTGTGAGCCACGGAATAGGGTGGGTCCTTCTTGTTGCCCAGATGGCGCATTTTACCGAACTTGTTTAGATAGAGGGTTGAAAATCTCGTCTCTGTTGGTCACCTTCTTGGGCGCAGGATGTGGTCGGCGCAGATACTGAACGGTTCTTGGAAGGGAAGGTGGCCGCTGGCTAATGGCACAGTCAGGAAAACTGCAGGACAATGCCTTGTTGCTCAAATACACGCCCACACAAACCGAACCTGCAACATGTGTGGAGTTCGGGTTACGAGACACTAGACACCAAAGCAGTCCAGCGGAAACCACGTACAAACACCACCCCACGAAAAACATCGATTGCCGGGCCGCTGGTGTCATGTGTGACACCGAGAATCTTCAAAAGCGTATCCTTCCCTGTGATATTCCTTTTCTTCCCCCACTGGCAAACACACGACAATTTTTGAGAGTGGGCCATTTGCCTAGGGTTGCGTCGCGTCATTCGTCGTTCTAGAAGATTTCTATCCGCACTAAAGACCTGACGTGCTGGTCGCGGAAATCCTCCACCAGCACAGCCCAACCACTGCAGCTTTACACATAAGTCCCAGGATGTAGACTAACACTTACAAAAAAATCAATATACCATACCTGAGGATTATGTTGAAACAAGGTATGTCGGAATGTTGCACATAATAGGCAAAAGTAAGAACTGATGTTTCATGCTGCGTGAATACTACTACAGTTTAGGAAGAAGCAGTGCACGCCATATGAACAAGAGGTGCATAGTGGCTTGGAACTCTTCTACTTATACAAGCAAGGTTGTGCCATACGACCCACTCAGAAACTCTTGTACCATGCTCGCCGGTTCATCCTGCAAGAAGAGGGCGCACATTGAGGACACAGGCGATCGTTCTCAGCACGCTTGTGGCAGGAGGACTGCAGAGAACGGATGTGTTGTTGCAAAACGGGCACTTTTTTCGATCCCTAAAAAACTCCATTATTACCTAAGCCATAGGTGTGCTATTCAGACGTGTCGTTTGATTTTCACGCGATAAGCTCTTACCAATACAGAGGTAACAAAGTGAAGAACGCAAGATACCCCAAAGCAGTCGCCCCTTGCATGTAGCCACAAAAGTGGTTCCTGGTCAAAGGTCAAATCACACTCGAAACACAACTCAGCAAGAGGCAAAGCATAAGGCTGGAGGGGAGATGCATAAGCAAACAGCTGCAAGAGCTACGAACACTGGAAACGAAAAGCTGGTTAACCACAAGAGAATCTAATGCGCCTTACGATCCAAATCCCAGAACATCAGCACTGGAGCAAAGGCTGACAAGTTGGCGCCGTCCCATGATGGTCACCCCTTGCGAGTTCTGACCCGTCTGGCAAGCTGCTGTTGTGGCCGCTGCAAACAGCAGGAGAGCCAGTAGCTGCCAGCACGTGGAAATATCGGAGGTAAAGTGTTGTGGTGGGTAGAGGAGGGGATGAGCAGAGGGTTAAGGTTCACGACTAGTGAAATCCAAGCTAGCTGCTAGATGGCCCCAACCGCTGGGAAATCTCGAGAGAAGGGAATAAGAGATTGAAGGAATTGATGATGCAGCTCACAAAGTCCATGATCATCTGCGCTCCAGTCATGAATCGCCCCCACGCATGGCGCGCGCGAAAGATCCAAGCACAGGAGAAGAGGACGAGGAGGAAGGAGTAGAGCATGGCGATGGACGCCATGGCGAAGAGCAGCGAGTAGGCGACGAAGAACGTGAATCTGTACTGCCCCGTTGGTGCGCCCACTAGCACGCTGTTGCGGATGGTAACGGCGGGAGGGAGGGAGGTGGGGAGGAGGACCGATACGGAAGGCGTAGTTAAAGAATTATTCCTCACAAGGAGGTGACGGATGGACCAAGCTATACCATAAATTTGCATGAAGTGTTGGCCTATATTCGTAATTAAGAGCTCGGCGAGAAACGATATTTTCTGAAAGACTTGAAATTATATCCCCACCGTTTATACTACAAAAACAATCCCGTCACGCGCAACGAAAAGAATACTGCACTTGGTTCACTGATTAGTTCACATGGTAAAAAACAGAATTAGAGGATTACCTGATGCAAAGCAGGCTTAAGATAAACGTCAGGATGCGCAACAGGAGCAGTCGCTTCACGTGCGGTGCCTCCACGCGACTCTGCACGTAGCACTCGTGAAACCCAGCCGAGAGAGGAGCGGATTGCGATACATTCACAGGCGTTCCACTAACGGGGGGTTCGCCATAAGCACCTGGCCCAGATACGCCGCCACCACCGCTATCAGCACCGTTTGGGCAGCCCCAAGCGGTTCCCCACGCAGGATTAGTCCCCCAGAATCCTGTGCTAGGAGGCGCCGCGTTACCTCCTCCACCTGAGGCGGGCTCGCCTGGACGGTGGGCTCCAGGACCTACTATTCCGGAGAATCCGCTCACGTTGCTCATGGTGGTGCGTCGTTGGTTCGATGATGTATGGCGCGAGGATTCTCACTAGAGGAATGAAATCGAAGGAAGATCTGAACGACCAGAAAAAGGAGAAAACAAGGACACCAGCGTAAGTGAAGGAATCGTCAAATAGTTGAATTGTGAAGGGTCTCATGGGGCTGGAGGGAGTGGCCTCGGGAGAAGTGAACGAGGGAGGAGGGAGGAGAATTCCCAATTCGGAAATTGGGTGCTTGTCTGCTCGAGTCGCGCAATGTTGCTCGATCGGTTGTGCGATGGAGATGGAGCCTATTTTGTTGTTCTTGATTCTCTGCCGTTGGATCTGACATTGAAGACCCACATGCACAGCCCAACGCTAGGGTTTTGCGAAACACCAACATTGAGGAAAACCGATGCAGGTAGTCACGGACGAACACTGTACTCAATCAGGTACGGTGCTGTAATTGTAGGTAAACTGTAAACTACCACCACCAGGCAAACGTAGGTTTCGTTACAGGCACAACCGTGCCCCCAACCTCGATTCCATCCAAGCCTCCGCCTTCCCCCAAACCGGAGCACAAGCTACCTCAGCCGCGTGTTCCCCAGGCTTCCCCCCTCCTCCCATACCTCCCCCCAAATCCCCGCACCCGCACCAGTAGCGGCAGCAGCACTCCGCTCCCCTCGACCGTTATCCTTCTTCCTCCCCCTCATCACCCCTTCCTCTTTCCTCTGCTGCCTCCACAGCAGCTCTCCTCAATCCCGCCACTGTGCCGGGACGGCGCGATTCCTGATCGTGTCCATAGTATCTTAGTCCCTCTCTCTCCGCAACGACAGCAATCGAGATTACTCGCAGCGGCGATAGTCGATCGCCTGTACGGATTTCCGGCAGCCTTTCGTGCCGTAATCCTCGCGTCATATTGCCGTGGATCCTAGGAATAGTGAATTTCGGAAGCCGGATCCAACGTCAGACTAATCGCTTTACCTTGTTCGCGATTGAAGTATCGGTCACGACCGGCAAGAAGGGGTCTAAGTTTCGAATCGCCAGCTCCTGAGCAGATTCGCGGTCTTTTTTTTTCAAATTAGGGTTACCGGGTTACCCCTTAGATTCAAACGTCATCGCATTGGTTGAGCAGCTGTACAAGATGGCGACACTGGTTCCCACATCCGAGGAGGAGCCCACGCTCGTCGTGGCACGATTCTGCGCCGAGATTGCGTGGGCAGAAGGCGGCGAGGAGGTGCGTGCAGATCCGCGATATAGACTTCCTCGAAAGGATCTTTGAGGGGAAAAGGTTCTGGGCGACTTAATCGCGTCAGACTGGGTGCGATCCTTAGACTTCTCCTGCGGGGTTGAGGGTTTTTCATGTCACGGGGGCCAGCTGAATAGCAGCAGCCGGTGAGGTGCGTGTGTGCACGGCGGATCCGGTGAGACATAGGATTCATGTGGGGAAGCTGCCGCTGGCGAGGATATGAGGTGGGGATCCAGGAAGCAAGGCCTAGGAGTGAGGGGGCGAGGCATTACTTTGGGTTGCCGCGTTGCGAGGGAAGCGTGTAGACAGTGGTCGGAGGAGCGGAGGAAGGCCCGTGAGCTTTTGGTGTTGGTTTGCAGCTCACTGTGTAGCTTATAGCTGCGCCGGCCGCTCTCCCTGCTTCTCTCCCGTTTTTCGCTCTTTCTTTTCTCTCCTGTCCGATTCCCAATACTTGTGCTTACCCGCCTCTTTCCCTTAGTAATTCCTCCACATCTCCCCCCTACCTCCCCTCCCTCCTCCCCCTTCCCCCACCCCTCGATCCTCCCCACGTCCCTCCCCCACAAAACCTCCCGCCGATCCTTCCGCGCAGGTGGCGGGCCCGGCTGTAGCGCAGGCTGTAGCGGAGGCCGGCACGCTGCTGGCGGCGAACCGCAATGCCGACCTCGTGAGCCTGCTGCTGACGTCAGCAGAGACCGTCCTCGCCAAGGGATCAGAGAAAGGTGGGCCTGGGGAAAGGAAAAGGGGAGGGGGGAGGGGGGAGGGGAAGGGGAATGGGGCGGGGGGAGGGGGGAGGGGAAGGGGAATGGGGAGGGGGAGGGGAAGGGGAATGGGGAGGGGGAAGGGGAATGGGGAGGGGGGAGGGGAAGGGGAATGGGGAGGGGGGAGGGGGAGGGGAAGGGGAATGGGGAGGGGGGAGGGGAAGGGGAATGGGGTGGGGGGAGGGGGAAGGGGAAGGGGAATGGGGAGGGGGGAGGGGAAGGGGAATGGGGAGGGGGGAGGGAAGGGGAATGGGGAGAGGGGAGGGGAAGGGGAATGGGGAGGGGAAGGGGAATGGGGAGGGGAAGGGGAATGGGGAGGGGGGAGGGGAAGGGGAATGGGGAGGGGGGAGGGGAAGGGGAATGGGGCGGGGGGAGGGGGGAGGGGAAGGGAATGGGGCGGGGGAGGGGGAGGGGAAGGGGAATGGGGAGGGGGGAGGGGAAGGGAATGGGAGGGGGAAGGGGAATGGGGAGGGGGAGGGGAAGGGAATGGGGAGGGGGGAGGGGAAGGGGAATGGGGAGGGGGGAGGGGAAGGGGAATGGGAGGGGGGAGGGGAAGGGGAATGGGGAGGGGAAGGGGAATGGGGAGGGGGGAGGGAAGGGGAATGGGGAGGGGGGAGGGGAAGAGGAAGGGGAGGGGAAGGGAAGGGGAAGGGGGAAGGAATGGAGAGAGGGGAAGGGGAAAGGGGAGAGGGGAAGGGGAAGGGAAGGCGGAAGAGAGGTGTAGAGAGGGCAGGGCAAGGAGGACGAAAGGGTGCACAAGGGGAGGAGGGGTAAGAAAGGGGAGTGAGGGTGGCGAAGGCGGCATAGGTTTGGAAACTTCCGGGGTGTGCACCTGTCGTCATCCATATACCCGCCTCCAGTCTTCCCTCCCTCTCCTCCCCCCTCCTCCCCTCCCCTCTCCTCCCCCCTCCTCCCCTCCCCTCTCCTCCCCCCTCCTCGCCTCCGCTTTCCTCTCCCCTCCTCCCCTCTCCTCTCCTCCCCTCTCCTCCCCTCTCCTCTCCTCCCCTCCCCTCCCCTCCCCTCCGTCCCCCGAAGCTAACCTACGACACGCCTCCTCCCCGTCTCATCTACTTACTCCATTCGTCATCCCTCATCTCCCTTTCTCCTCCTCCCGCCCCCTCCGCCCATTCCCTCTGCCCTTCCCCTCCTCCATTCCCCTCCGCCGTTCCCCCTCCTCCCGTCCCCTCCGCCCCCTCCCCTCCCCCGCAGACGTGGAGGGCGCGTTCACGTTCATCGCGAGTCGGATTCCGTAGGCGGACGCCAAGAAGCTGGTGGAGGCCTTTTGAGTCGACTCAAAAGCTTCCCCTGCGCCCTTTGCCTCTGCCCTTCCCTGCCCCCCCCCCTCCCCCTCCCCTCTCCTCCCCTCCCCTCCTCTCCCCTCCCCGGCAGACGTGGAGGGCGCGTTCACGTTCATCGCGAGCCTCATTCCCAAGGCGGACGCCAAGGAGCAGGTGGAGGCGCTCGCCAGCCAGCTCGCGTCCAAGCTGCTCATGGCGCCCGCGGACAAACCCGCGCTCAAACTCAAAGTGTAGGGCACCCGCGGGGGGAACAGCGGGGAGGGGACGGCTGAGAAGAGAAGGGGCGGGAAGGAGGGGGGGGGGGAGAGGGGGGGGGCTCATGGCTGCTCATGGCGCCCGCCGACAAGCCCGCGCTTAAACTCAATGTGCAGGCCATTGGTGGCAAGGACAGGGAGGACGAGGAAGGGGGGAAAGGGGGAGGGGTGTTGGGGAGATTGGAGGGTTGTGGGTGGGAAAGGGGAGAAATGAGGTTCACGAGGAAGTGGATAATGGGGAAGTGGGGGTGGGAGGGGGTGGGGGGTGGGGGGTGGGGGGAGGGGGAGGGGGGTGTTGGGAGAGGAGGAGAGGAAGGAAGGTCAGCGGCATATATAGGAGAACGGAGTAAGGAGTTTAGCGGGCTTGCGAGTTATACACACGGCATTGGTCTCCTACCTCTCGTGGATTGGTGTGCGCTCTCTGCGCTGTAAGCGAATGGGTGGAAAGCGGTGGGGGGGAGACGGGATCGGGGAGAGGGAGAGGGAGTGAGGGGAAGAGGGGCGGGGGAGCGCGGCCGGCCGGCGCAAGCGAGGAGGCATGGGGGGGTGATTGATGGGGATAGGTGGCAAAAAGTCGACTCAATAACACGCTCACCCGCAACGCCAGTACTTTTACACCCCTGCTTACTCCCTTCTCCTTCCTCCCGTTTTCCGCGCTCTTCGCCTCCCCCTTCTTCTCTCCCAACCCTTCCTCTCCCCACTCTTTCTCCCACACCCCAGCCTCGTGTTCCTCTACAACGCGCTCGTCGCGTGTCCGCGCGCGCGCTACGTGGTGTTCGCGGCGGCGCTGCGCCTGGCGCTCGCCGCCAAGCAGCACGAGCTGATGCTGCCGCTGGCGCGGCGCTTCTCGTCCGCGTGCTTCCGCGAATGGGGCGGCGCCGTCGACAAGGAGGAGCTCAAGGAGCTCTACGTGTCGCTTGGCGCGCTGCTGCAGGAGACCAAGGGGTGAGGATAAGGGGGGCGGATGGGGTGAGATGGCATTCTGGGGGGTGGGAAGGAGGGAGAGGGGTGGGGGGGGAGGGGGGGAGGGGGGAAGTGGGGGGAGGGGGGAAGGGGGGGAAGGGAGTTGCTGGGCAGGTGAGAGGGAGGTTGGCTTGTGTGTGGCTTGCGAGACGGCGCTGTCGACAAGGAGGAGCTCAAGGAGCTCTACCTGTCGTTCGGCGCGCTGCTGCAGGAGACCAAGGGGTGAGGACAGGGCCATGGAAGGGTGGGTTGGGGGGGCATTCTTTGGAGGGGGGAAGGGTGGGTTGGGGGGGTGGGATGAGGAGGTTGGCTTGTGTGCGGCGCGTTGGCTGTTGCTGCGAATTGGCAGAGGAGCTCAAGGAGCTCTGCTGTTCATGGCGCTCGGCGCGCTGCTGCAGGAGGCGAAGGGGTGCGGACCGAGAGATGTATGCGCTGGGCTTGGCTAGGCTAGGCTGGGCTGGGTTGGGCTGGGCTGGGCTTGGGAGGGGAAGGGTGAGGGACGGGGTGGGTGAATGGCTGACTGGCCTATCCTGCTATGTTCTCTCCCGCACCCTCCTCTCCTCTGCGTGCAGTGGCGCCAATGACGCGTGTGTGTGTGCTCGCGATGGAGCACGAGCACCTCGTGCTCTCTTCCCTTTTGAGGCGCCTCAAAGGGCGCTAATGACGCGTGTGTGTGTTCTCGCGATGGAGCACCTCGTGCTCTGCCCTGAAACAACCATGCCCGCCCAACAACATCAGCTTTGGGACTCCTGAACCCCAGCCTTCTGCGACCTTCTCTCCCTCCCCTCCCCCTCTCCCTCCCCCTCTTTGCCCCCTTCCTGTTTCCTTGGTATTTCCCTCTCAACGGCGCCAAGGACGCGAGTGCGTTCGCGATCAAGTACCTATCACTCTTCCCTGCAAAAAGCAAAACCCCCTTTCCCGGCCTTCTCTCCTCCCCGCCCCCCACCACTTCCCTTGCAGTGGCGCCAAGGACGCGAGTGCATTCACGATAAAGTACCTCTCGCTCTTCACAGCAAGAAGCAAACCCCCTTTCACGGCCTACTCCCTCCCCTCGTCCCCACCCCCCGGTCCCCGCAGCGGCGCCAAGGACGCGAGTGCGTTCACAATGAAGTACCTCTCGCTCTTCACAGCCGCGGAGGCGGCAGCGTCGCCAGCAGCGCTGCAGGCAGCGGCAGCGGCAGCCATCGACTTCATCAAGACGCCCGACGCCTTCCAGAGCGACCTGCTGGATCTGCCCGCTGTGCAGCAGCTGGCTAGCGTGCCAGAGCACGCGCCCCTGCACGCGCTGCTGTGTGTGTTCCTCAAGGAGCGCCTCCCTCAGTTCCACGCCTTCTGCCAGGCGAATCCGACGGCACTCCAGACCTACGGTAGGGTGGTTGTCCCGTGATGTTGTTGTTGTTGCTGCTCCTTGAGGCGCTACCCAAGGCACCCTGAACGCGCTGCTCTGTGTGTTTCTCAAGGAGCGCCTGCCGCAGTTCCACGCCTTCTGCCAGGCGAATCCCACGGCGCAGCAGACCTGTGGTGCGGTACTTGCTTGCGTGCTGTTGTTTCTGCTGCTGCTACTGTTGCTGTTGCCAAGTGCGTTGGCGTTGTGGCTGCCGGTCTGCAATGCTGTCTGTCTGCAGGGTGTGCTCTCTGCTCTGTCTGTCCTGGTCCCTTCCTCGTCATTCCCACGCTCTGCATGACTTCACTTTCATTTCAGCTTCTCTGGCCGCCAGCCGTCACTCTAGACTTCCCCCTTCCCACTTTCCCCCATCTCGCCACCCCTCCCGACGTCCCCACCCCCTCCCTACCCGCTCCTTGCACCTCCCACCTCCCCCCTCCTTCCTCCCCTGTCCTCCTGCCTTTCCCCCTCGTTCCCCCAACCAGGTCTGAGCGCTGAGGACTGTGAGGCCAAGATGCGGCTGCTCTCCCTCGCAGCCCTCGCCTCAGACAGCTTCGCAGCTGCGGCCTCCGCTGCTGCTGCTGCTTCCGGCTCTGCCTCTGCTGGAGGGGCAGCATCCCCCACTGCTGCTGCGGGGGGGAGTGGTGCTGGTGCTGCCGGCAGCGGAGCCTTTGCTGTGGGGGAGATCCGCTATGCGCTGCTGCAAGACACTCTCCAGGTGTGTCGGTGTGTCGGTGTCGCTGTGTGGCTGTGTGTCCCTGTGTTGACTGTGTCACTGTGTCCCCTCTCCTCCGCGTGCCCTCTCTTCTCTACCCTACTGTGACTCACGCTGGAACATGCTTCTGTTTGGTGTTTATACCGACACAAACGTGCATTTCATCTCACGTGTCCGTTCGCATTACTTTCTACCTCTCCCTGCCTCTCCCTGCCTCTCCCTGTCTCTCCTTGCCTCTCCCTGTCTCTCCCTGTCTCTCCCTGTCTCTCCCTGTCTCTCCCTGTCTCTCCCTGTCTCTCCCTGTCTCTCCCTGTCTCTCCCTGCCTCTCCCTGTCTCTCCATGTCTCTCCCTGTCTCTCCCTGTCTCTCCCTGTCTCTCCCTGTCTCTCCCTGCCTCTCTTTGTCTCTCCATGTCTCTCCCTGTCTCTCCCTGTCTCTCCCTGTCTCTCCCTGCCTCTCCCTGTCTCTCCATGTCTCTCCATGTCTCTCCCTGTCTCTCCCTGTCTCTCCCTGTCTCTCCCTGTCTCTCCCTGTCTCTCCCTGCCTCTCTGCCGCCTTCGGCCTCTGCCTGCCGGTTGTCCCTCGTGGTGCCTCTCGCGCATGTGTGGGGCAGGTACCAGAGGAGGAGGTGGAGCAGTGGGTGGTGCGCGCTATAGCCGCCAAGGTGGTGGACGCCCGCATGGACCAACAGCGCCGCGTCGTCGTCGTCACGTGAGTGCACGGGCGCGGGGGAGGGTGGAGGGGGGGGCGAAGGGGGAAGGAGGAGGAGGGGGGGGGGTGATGAGGAGGGAGGAGGGAAGAGAGTGAGTTTGCTGCATTTGCCCTTTTTATGGTCTGGTATACCGCGTTCTGAGCACAACTTTTTCATTTCAATGCGTTGTTGCTTGGTGCCTTATGTGTGGTTTGTGTGGGCGTGTGTTCCTGCATGGTGTGGCTACAGGCGCAGCACACAGAGAGTGTTTGGGGCACCCCAATGGCTGGAGCTTAGGAGCCGTCTGGCAGTGTGGAAGGTGTGTTGTGTGTTTCAGAGGAGGAATGGCTGCTCGTGCTTTGAGGAAACACTGTAGGGTTTTTTCTTACATGACATGTCTGCCATGGTCCAGCCAGCATATGCTTGCCATGCTTTCCCCTCAAGCATATTTTCCTTGTCCAAGCATTGCATTCCCTTCCCTAGTCGATGGGATCTTTGTCTGCTCCCAGCATTTCTGCCTTCCAGGCTTCCCCAATGCATCCTCTCACCTCACTCTGCTCTCCCATGTTCCTGGTTCGCAGGAGAACATCTCTAATGTCTCGAGGGTTACTCAGAGCGCCCGCCTGTCTGGCTCCCTTGGTCCCCGTGGTGCCGCTGCAGCTGCTGCAGCCACTGCTGCTGCTGCCACCACAAGTGCCTGAGGAACAATACAACAGATTTGAGTAAGGAGTGGCTGGCAGTTCCGAGGAAAATAACAGTGAAATGAAATTTTGTACTAGTAGGGTTTAGTGAGGTGCTGAAAACCTACGCATGATTGCATTGTTGCTCTTTACATGTGGACGCCCATCCTGTGTTTTATGCAAGTGAGCTGAAGACCTTGGTGCAGTTCAATTTTCCAGAAATCACAGTATGGCAACAAATTGGTTCTCGTCACAGTATGGCAACATGTGGAATTTCGTGGGGTTTTGTCACCTTGTCATCTTGGGAAGTTTGGTCTGGATTTTGTTTGAAATGACTGGTTGTGATCGTATGCAAATAGGCTGCAAATTGTATTTGCACCTCATTCTAATGTTTATCTGAACGCGCGTTTTGGTCTTCGCTGACGCCCATGCTGCTCAGAGCCCTGCCACTCACGAAAGGATTTCTCGTCAATTTGCTTCGCCCCGTTACTTCTCAACTTCTTTCGCTACTCGTTTCGAGTTCCGTTAGACTTGACTGTCCCCCAACCACTCTGCGCGCATGTTCCCCTTCTCCATCACACAGACTCCCCCGATTTTCCGCCTTCGCCTTCTCTAGCTCCCCCCTTACCTGCGCACCAGTCCTCATGCGCCCATCTTCCCCCTCATCCCCTCCAAACCCTGGTCTGCTGAACCTTTCCCTGCCCTGCCTTACAAAGTAGATCTCTTGCTGACGCAGAACCTCTCTGCTCCTGTCCATCTCCTAGAGCCTGCCTGTCTGTCGGTCCGTACACCCCCTCGCCCTACTCCACCACTCAGGCTCTCCATTCTGTAAGCGAACTTGCGAACCCTAAAGTCTCGTTTGCAAAACGTCAGGATCTCCATCACCTAGTTTCGTCTGGGAAACCCCGGTTTCAGTTGGGTGCATTAGGTTTGTCTGAGAAACCCTGGTTTCATTCGGTTGCGTTAGACTCTCGCCAAGCGTTGATTGCGGTAACCTCAGATGTGTTCTTGCACTCAATTCCTCTGTGATGTGTCTATTTCGCTGTTCCTACTGATTCCCAAGCTCAGTAGCATCATCCAAACGCTCCAAAGGGCATCATACTGAGTCCGTCTGCCATTAGACCCTCACAACATCCCTTCCTTGGCCATCTAGTCTGCTTCCCTGCATCCCACATCCCGTCCTTAACCTGTCCGTTGTTCCCGTGATTCTCTTAGTGGGGCGTTTCCCCATCTGCTGCAGCTGACAGCCATGCGATAGAAGTCACAAGTCACACTTCGTTTTCGCTGTCGTCTTTGTTGATCCTCCTGTCCGTTGTGTGCTATTTCCACGTTCCCCTTCCGCTACAGCGGAGGCAGCCATGGCCAAGTCGAAGAACCACACGGCGCACAACCAGACGTACAAGCAGCACAAGAACGGTATCAAGAAGCCCAAGAAGCACAGATACTCTTCCACCCTTGGGGTAAGTAGTGCCGAAGTTCATGTTCGGAACGTGCTATTTTCCTCTTCAGAGGGTTTCCTCTACTTCCGTGTGCGGGGTGTTAGGGATGCTGAAGCGTGCGATACCTCACTGCGTCATGATCGCTTGGCGTTAGGATATGGACTGTAAATGGTGGTGGTAGCCCATCAGGTGCTGTTTGCACAGCCGAACTTGAGGCACCCCGTGACGTTGATCTAGGTGCCTTTTCAAGGAGCGTGGGCTTGTTTACATCCCGTTCAGCGTGGCGTGACTTAGGCGGGTACCAGGTCGTCAGGGCTGAGATTTCGAATGTCGGGAGGCGTTTAAGTCGCGCTGTTCTAGTATTTCATCATCGGCGATGCAGCTTCTCCCTTACGAGCACGGATGAAGTTATTAGTTTTTTTCGTGGGAGCTTTTGCCTGGGCGCGGTCGTTCAGCCTAGGTTCAAACAGTAGGTCTAGCAGTGACTTTGTCTCGAAGATGTCGTAGTTCAGTCGCTCATATACTGGCCTAGAGTTGCTTTTCCACTGATCCGAGATACCGTTGTTGTCTTGGGGATCGGAACAGGGCATGAATTTCATCCCCTTGTTGCTTGCAAGCTTGGAAGGCTCGTTCTTCCGGCTGCCACGACCGCTGGCCCCTCCGATTTCGTTGAATGCCACGTGTCGCTCGCGTACCACTTCACCTTATCCTTCCACACCCTGTACTCCCTCCCTGTTGCGTGCCCTCCATTTTCTGGTGCCTTCTCTCTTCCTTTCCCCTCCCCACTCCGCCTCCCCGTTTCCTCCGGTTCCTCCCCCTCCTCTCCTCGTGCCTTTCTCCGCTCGTTCTCCGCTCTTTCTCTGCCACCCTCGCCGTGCAGATGGACGCGAAGTTCGTGCGCAACATGAGGTACTCGCGCAAGGGCAATGTGCACAACAAGAAGGGCGAGGAGTAAATGCGACCCCTTCAAACACTCGGTTTCCCCCTGCGCCACCTTCCACTTGCTGATGAGTTGCTGTGGAATGGCCCAAGTCTCCGCCTCATTTTCCATCAAGAATTAAGAGGGAGGGAGTGGTATGAGCTAGGTCCAGTAGCAGCAATACTGGCAGATGTGGACGCTGTACTGGCAGCAGCATCAGCCATAGGTGGTTGTGGTGGCAGTTGCTGCAGCTGTTATTGCAGGAGTGGTGGGAGCAAAGGGGAGGCTGGGTGGAAGTTCCCAAGGTCTAGTTGACAGTATAGGGAAGTTACAGTATGTACTTTTCCTGATTCAATTTACATGTCAATTTCGATCCTGAAAGCGTTTGTTACACGTACGTAGTGTATTGCAAACCTGTTCGAATCCTGAGACCAGTTAGCAAGAGTACAAGCAAGATTAAAGCAAGCCAGGGTGGCACTACTAGTCCAGCCACGGGAGGTAAGGCCACAAGGACAGTCAGACAGGTATATATAATAGATTGTACACAATCAGGGTCCTAACAGGTGAGTAGCTACAGGAACAAGACCAAGCTGTACACAGTGCCGCTGATGATCTTTAGGCGCAAGCACCTTAGTAAAGATATCAGCTGTGTTGGCACTTGAGGCCAAGTGAACTACGCAGGCCTGGCGACGCAACTGTAGCTCGCGCAAGAGGAAGTACCGCAGCTGGATATGCTTCGCTCTGCCCTCAAGCCGAGGCTCCTGACACAGGAGAATCATAGCCCTGTTGTCAGCGTACAGGACCGGGGCAGAGCTAGGCCGCTCACCGTGAGCAAGAAAGTCAGCCAACGGAGAACCTGTGCCGCCATGGCACCGTCGTAGATCTCAGCCTCACAGCTGGACTGAGCAACAGACGACGAGCGAGTGGATCTCTAAGAGATAGCACCCGAACCAAGGCTAAAGCAGTAGCCCTGCGACGACCTGAGTGTCTCAGAGTCGTCTGCCCAAGAAGCGTCTGTGTACCCAGTGAGGACCACCGGCCTGCGTCCTCCTAGCACTTACCCCATGCCTGATGTACTTGCTAGATATCGCAAAACCCTCTTAGCGGCCGACCAGTGCTGTGGTCGGTGTCTGCCAGTGGCCACAAAGCGAGCCAGGATGCTGAGAGGGTATGCGAGATCTGGGCGAGTGCAAGTCATCAGGTACATGAGGCAACCCATCAGCTCTGCGTAGGGGCCGCTGGGCTCTACTGGCTCCTCAGGAACGGGAGCGGACAACCCATGGTCTACAGGTAGAGGTGTGGGCTGTGCGGAGGAGAACTGAAGACCGAACCTCTGAAGGACCTGACGCACCAAGTGTGACTGTGTCAGAGTGATGGTGCGTGTTGCTCTGTCCCTAGAGATCTGCAGGCCAAGATAGCGACGCAACTCTCCAAGGTCAGTGCAGGTGTGTCTTTTCAGCAGCTTGGCCTTCACGGAGGCCAGTACGTCCCTGTCAGCAGTCGCGAAGACCAGGTCGTCTACGTAGACAAGGATGTAGAACAGAATCTGGCCGGAACGCACAAACAGCGAGGGGTCAGCAGAGGACGGAAAGAACTGCAGATCTGCTAGCGTGGCACACAGCGTGTCGTGCCACTCGCGGGGAGCCTGGCGCAGGCCTGCGAAGCTACTGGGTCCCAGGGGGGAAGGTACAAGTGAAGCCCTGTGGTCGGCGCACGTAGACCTGCTCGTGTAGGCTGCCCTGAAGAAAGGCAGTGGAGAAGTCGAGGGAGTGAAGCTCGTAGTCGCGCTGTGCTGCTACGTGTAGCAGCGCCCAAAGAGTGGTCATCTTCGGGGTCAGGGCGAAGATCTGCAAGAAATCAACCCCTCGCATTGACTGAAGCCTCTACCAACGTAGCGCATTTTGATCGCCGCCAACTCTCTAGGAGGGCGCTTCACCTTGAAGAGCCATCGACGATCGACTACGTTCACCCCAGGTAGGGGAACTGTATCAACGTAGGTGTTAGTGGATCTCCAAGAGGCCATCTCCACGTCCATGGCAGCTATCCACTGAGAGGCCCAGGGTCCCAAGGTCGCCTCAGCGTAAGTGCGAGGGGTCGGGATGTCAAAGGCGTCTGGGTCACCCTCTGGGACTAGGAGCATGGAGCAGAGATGGGGAGAAACCTCAGAAAGGAAAGCAAGCTCGTACTGCCTGTCCTCTAGAACGTCACTGCCAAGGGCAGGTGCACCCCCGATGGACGGAGGACGGGCAGGGTCAGAGACCAGAGTGGTAGCGTAGTCAAGGCGGCGGGTAGAGGCGAAGTCAGCGACAGCAGCGACAAGCGCGTCAACGCGCGAGACAGGAACAGACGGGTCGGTAACAAGAGAGGCAAGAACCCGAGGGACAAGGGGACGAACGGCACGGAGGTAGTCAGACAGCGGAGGATGTGCAACAGCAAGCGACGAGGGAGGAGGCGAGAGGAGGAGGGGAGGACGAGAAGAGTGGGAACGGAGCAACATGGGGTGGGAGCGCAGGACAGGAGAGACGGGACGAGCACGTAAGGGACGGTGGGACCAAACGTGGGATGGAGGTATAGGGTCGGGCGACAGCGGAGGGGACACAAAAGGGGAACGAGGAGGGAGACGGGCCGAAGACGAGTCCGGTTGCGGGAACAGAGGGCTGTAGACAAGAAGGTGAGAAGGTGATGGAGGAGACACCGGCGAGCGGTAAGGGGAGGGAAGGCCGAGCAGGCGAAGAGCGGAGACCGACGGCGATGGCTGTTGCGGCTGCTGCGGCACCTGGTGCTCGACCCTCGAAACGGCAGGGGCACGACGCCCGCCGGGAGAACACTCAACAGCAGCACCCCCAGAACCAACACCCCC